TATGGTGCTGGGGATGGCGATTGAAGCCAGAGCCTTGAGTATGCAAGGCAAGCACTCTACCAACTGAGCTATATCCCCAACTGGACTGAGCTATATCCCAGCCCGAGATTATTTTATCCCAGCTTCAAAGCAGAGATCAGAGAATCACAGGAACAAATCATTTCTAGACCTACTGAGCTTCAGAAACCAAGGCCTTTGTTTGGTTTTTTAACTTATATTTCCTTGGGATAAATTTCTGGGAGCAAACAAAAAAAGACACTGATTAGAAGTTTCACAAGTTGGTGTTAGACCATCAGGATAAAGATGTACAACATCCTTATCTAAGCCCCATATATTCATAATAGAATCACAAGTAGAATACCATGCTTATGAAATGTTGACTTGTTAGAAATGTTATTTTCTGAATAGGTGGCATTTTCTGAGGCTTCAGTGTAGGTACTTATTATCTGGTAAAGGAGGATTCTATATTACATTCTTTGTGTCTAATATCTTCCTATTCTCATTTCTACTTTCATAGGTCTCCTCTGTCTAAGAGCTGTAGAAAAATGATCAATTTACAGGTAAGACATCCATATATTCACTGAATCATTCAAGTCCAAAATCCATATGATTAAAAAAAATGGTCAAAAAATGTAGATTGAATAGAAGATCAGGTCCAAATGGAAATTTAGAAAATTAGTAAGTTGATGTCCGTGTCATGGGGTCTGCATATAGTTGGAATAAATTTGAGCTGCAAAATATATACTCAGTCTCCTTGGAAATCATATTAAATGGGTTATCAACTAGTTAAAGTGTTAGCATTGTTTGTGAAGATAAAACAAAATAATTCCCCAGATAAGTTTTTTCCCCCTTGGGCTAGATCTTTTTAAACTATAAATTGGCTATTCTGGTATATAGAAAAGTATGGATCACACATTATTTTGGCTTTATAGTTAAGAGGATATATTATATCATGTAAAAAAAAACATCTTGTGATCCTATTTTAAAATGTTTATGTAAGGGGTTAGGGTTGTGGCTCAGCAGTAGAGTACCTGCCTAGCCTGAGCGAGGCCCTGGGTTCAATCCTCAGCACCACATATAAATAAATAAAATAGATGTATTGTGTCCAACTACAACTAAAAAATAAATATTTTTTAAAAATGCTTATGTAAGCCAGGTGTGTAAACCTTATCACTTCAGTAACATTGCAGATATTTACTGCCGGATTTCAGTTCTCGAAACTAAAAGGCTCAGGGGTCACTCCAGATAAACTGGGCTGACTGGGCTGCACGAAATAACCACACAAGAAACACAAATACCTTTTTCTTTGGGGTTGCTGTGACGGCTCCTCTGACCTTAAGGGTCTGCAGAAAGAGAGAGAGAGCGAGAGCACGCGCTGACCCCTTTTATTGAGGAGAAGCTATTCAAATGAGGCAAGGGGTCAGGTTTCAGGGGGCTGAGTATCTTCATGATGTCCACTTTCAGCAGGTTGACTGACACCTGGGTAGGCCACATCCAAGGGCACAGTAAGAGAAGGGGACACACACAAGGCATTTCCATTGAAGATTTTATCCTAAACAAGGCAAGGGATTATATTACAAAGGAACAGGTGAGGGTAGCTTCACCCGTGGGGCTGTAGCAAGATACACCCATGCACGAGACACTGACCACATTTCTGTGACTGAGAACCTCAGCACCCAGCCCAGGAGTGTGACCAAGTCACGTGTAAGGTTGGTCTCCCACAATTTACTTTGTAGAGTCTGATACGTTGTAAGATCCCTCAGGGGAGCAATCATATTTTTCCTTTTGAAATCATTATTAGTACAGGATCTTGCTGGTCCTCATAAGATATTCTATGAGTGAATTACTAAGGAATATATAAGTGATATTCTAAAATAGTTTTATTGAAATGCAATTCACATATCACAACAGTGACTTAATTCAAGGTGTCAGTTGAGTGGTTTTTATTATAGTCACAGCATTGAACAGCCATTGCCATTGTAATTTTATAACATTTCATCATTCCAGGAAAAAAGGAATTCCAGATACCCATTAGCAATTACTCCCTATTCCTCCCTAATCTGCTTTCTGTTTATATGGCTTTTCTATTCTGAACTTTTCATATAAATGAAGTCACACAATATGTGATTTTTTGGCAACTGGTTTCTTTCACCCAGTACAGTATTTTTAAGGTTCATCCCCATTGTAGATATATCAGTGCCTCATTCCTTTTTAATGCTGAATAATATTTCATCCTGTGGATATATCACATTTTGTTTATCCATTTGTCATGTCATGGACATCAGATTGTTTCCACATTTTGGCTGCTGTGAATAATTCTGCCACAAACATTTGTGTATAAATTTTTACAGATACATGCATTTTGATTCTATTGGATATATACTTAGGAGTGGAATTCCTAGTCATATGTTTAACATTTTGAGAAACCGCCAAACTGTCTTCCACAGTTGCTACACTATTTTGGAATCCCACCAGAAATGTATGAGTTCCTCTTTCTCAATGTGCTTGCTAACACTTGTAATTGTCTGCCTTTTATTTTAGCCACCATCATGGGTGTGCTGTGGTACCTTATTGTGGCTTTGATTTGCATTTCACTAATGAATAATGATATTTATCATTATTCCATGTGCTTATTGACCTTTCTCGTATATATATATATAACAATCTGGTGTCCATGAACTGACAAATGGATAAACAAAGTGTAATATAGTCACAAGATGAAATATTATTCAGTACTAAAAAAAGGAATGAAGTACTGATATATTTACAACAGAAATCAACCTTGAAAATATTGTACTGTAATACAAGATCTATACACACATGCATATATCACTTCAGGCATTGCAGTTGTTTACTTTGTAAAGTCTAATATATATATAAATAAATCTGGAGAAATATCTGTTTAAATCCTTTGCTGATTTTTAAATTAAGTTGTCTTTTAAGAGTGCTTTATTCTGATATAGGTCTATTGTCATATATATGATCTGTAAATATTTTCTCCTAGTCTGTGAATTTTTCTTTTCTTTTCTTTTTTGGTACTGGGGATTGAACCAAAGGGTGCTTTACCAGTAAGGTACATTCCAAACCTTTTTATTTTTTACTTTGAGACAGGCTCTCACTAAGTTGCTTAGGACCTCAATAAATTGCTGAGGCTAACCTTGAACTTGTGATCCTTCTATCTTTCTGCCTTAGCCTCCTGAGTAGTTGGGATTATAGGCATGCATCACCACACCCAGGTTTACTTATTTTATTGTGTTCTATGAAGCACAAAGTTTTTTAGGTTGTTTGTGTGTGTGTGTGGTGCTGGGGATGGAACCCAGGGCCTTGTGCATGCGAGGCAAGCACTCTACCAACTGAGCTATATTCCCAGTTTTTTAGTTTTGATGAATTCAAATTGATTTTATCGTTTGTCCCTTATACTTTTCTGTCATATTTAAGAAGCCATTGCCTGGGGGCTGGGTTGTAACTCAGTGGTTGAGCACTTGCCTAGCACATCTGAGACACTGGGTTTTATCATCAGTACCACGTAAAATTAAATAAAATGAAGGTATTGTGTCCATCTACAACTTAAAAAAAAAAAGAAGAAGAAGAAGAAGAAGCCACTGCCAAAGATTTTCTCCTGTGTCTTTTTCCTAAGAGTCTAACAGTTTTAGTCCTGACATGTAGGTCCTTAGTCCATTTTAGTTCATATTTTGTCTGTTTTATGAGGTGGGTGGGAGATCAACTTTATTCTTCTGCGTGGGGGAATCTAATTGTCTCAGCACCATTTTCTTTCCCTTGTTGAATTTTTCTGGCACTAGTTGGACTTTTTAATACGATTTTTATTGCTATTGAAAAGTTTATTTCTGAATCAAGTGTCTAGTAGTTACTGTACATAACTTTCTACACACTCAATAGTCAAGGTGATATTAAGAGATTATCATGATTCTCTTGCAAGTCCCTAATAATGCACACACTAGTTTGAAGAAGAATGTGCTATTATAGGAATCAGTGACATTCCAGGATGTGGCTGTGGACTTCACTTCAGAGGAGTGGCAGTGCTGATTGTGATCAGAGATCCCTGTATTGGGATGTGATGTTGAACTATAAAAACCTCATCTCAGTGGGTAAGGACAGAGGGTGGTAACTGTGTAACTTGGAATGTACCAATATAGTGCACTCCCTGAAAGACATGTGAGAGCTGGGAACATTCTGAAGCATTAATAAAATTGGCCCTGAACTTCCGCGTTCAGTTTGTTCTAAAGCCTACTTGTCATCCTTTAAATGCCTAAGACTCGAGGCAGTTCTAAGTTCTGAGATAGCTGTTTGTCCCCAGTACTTTGTCCCCTCTTGTGTGTTGCTTTCCCATGAACAGCGTGTATAAGTACCAAAACAAAAGTGATCCTCATGGTGAATCGAGGACAAAAGCCATGGTTTGTAGAAGGAAAGAACCTACATTGGAGCCATCCAGGTGAGTGAGAGAAAATCACATGGGAACTGAGATCCCATTTGGTCAGTGAAGGACAGGCACCTTTGAATGCTTTTTAGAAAGCACCTCTTAAAAGTCACACACTGTTGGAAGTGAGTGGGTATTCCTGTAATCATCAGCTTTCCAAAGGGTGCCCATGTGTCTCTGCTCTTGCTCTGCCGCCATGTGGAGGTGCTCTCTCCTTCCTGTGGTTCCTCACACTGCCTGTTCTTACAGATCCTTGCTTTGCTTCTTTTCTTTTAATTCCTGAAACCCTCATTTTTCTTCCCTTCTCAACATTATTGCAGATCTTTTTCTGTGTAGTTAGTCCTTAGAATGTTGTCAGGTTGTATGGGTTTGAAACCTTACTGGACTAGTCATTGTATAATCTTGGGAAAATTACTTTGTAGCATAATTTTTTAATTTATAAAATAATGATATTAATGCTTAGCTCAGATTCCTGTAAAGATTATATGAACTAATACCTATAAAACACTTTAAATGGTTGGCTGGCAGATAATAAGTCTTCAGTACATGTTAGTTTAGAAAAAAAATTTTTTGGTAACATCATGCTCTCAATTATTTTCCTTTTTTAAAAAGTTTCTTTTCTCCCGTCATATATGCCACTGTTTTAATTCAGGGTCCTTGAGATGGAGAGTACCCCTTCAACAATTATGACATATAAGATGGAAATCTTCTATTGCTTATGGGTCCTGGTGTGTGTGTGGCGGGGGGAGGTGCTCAGCATGACCAGAGGCCACATACATATTGGTCAGGCATGAAAGCAGGGAGAGAGAAGGGACCTATGGGCCAGTGCTTTCATTGGGGCCAAGGTGTTATCCAAATAAGTTTTCCAGGGGAAGTTTTGGTTGGTAGGTTTAAAGCAAGCAGACACAATTTCCAAGAGACCACATTGTTGCTGAGAGGTAGTTATTATGACATAGCTACACAGTCCATGCAGGGTGTGAAGGTAAGCACAGCCAATCAGGTATACTGTATCTATCTGTCCCCCAGAGAAGTGGTCACCAGGAAGCAGTTGTATAAGGTGGAAATCCAGTTGACTACACTATTTCTGGTATAAGAAAGTTAAACTTTATGCAACATGGAAGCTGA